ATCGTGGCAGTTTTCTCTTGCAGTAACTGTCGTGTTGCTTCCAGCTCCTTGGTAACGGCTTCATTCTTTTCTCGCAAGGCTTCACAATCTGATACCAGTGACCGGACTCGAGCCATCTAAATTGTCCAACAAGCATCGGTAAATTTTGAGGCTTATATCTATTAACATCTGCTCAGCATGTGAAAGCTACGAAAAATTCTTTTTGAAGAGAAGAATATTAAAATCTGGAGTCTGCAAATTTAAATCCGAATTCTTCGAAGAGAATGATTTTAAGTAGAGTAAACTGTCAAAAGATGACGCAATGACGCAGAATAACTTCAAAGAAGAAATCAAGAGGATTCCACTTCTGCACTTTTCCACCAACCTAATATCCCCAGAAATCGACAATTCACATCGAAAAGAATGCTTGGTTATGGGCAAAAGACAGCTCGAAGGAGAGCACACTCGCCCACTCAGCGGCGATACGTCTTCGAGTCCGGCCTGGAGTCCGACTTTCGTCCTCATCTCAGGACTCTTGTGATGATTTTCGAGCGCAAACTGCGGCGTCAAACAGCAGTCATCACACTAAAACAACTTACATCTACGTCATTGTTGTTACTTCCTGCTCCTCGAAATTGGATGCGCAGCTTCTCGCTCTGAGCTAGCGCTTGATCTTTAGCTGATAGCAACAACTCCAATTCTCGTTCTCTTCGCTGAAGCTAATAACTTGAAAAACTGCATAAGCTATCATGGAACTGTTCATGTCACTTCACCTCCATTAACAGTATCTTCTTCTCGTACGCAGATAAAACATCTGATATCTTTGCATCCTTCACCTGAATGGGAAACAGTCGGAGTATTCAGAAATCGAAAGAATAAGCATATGAAAACTGAAATCCAACATACACTAAATCCATCTCTTATCCTCTGAAGAACTTCGTCCAATACACGTTCATTTTCTTTGGAGCTTCTCCTGGGCGACACTACCACAGCAGGTACTGCAGCTGCTGTATCCATCGGTTCACAGCTTCTTGACCTGAGAAATTAAGCTTGACTAAATGATTTGAGACCACAGGAATTTTTTCAAAACTTTCAACAATTTCCTCCGCAGCATAGAATGTATGAAACTCTTTGCTCATATTAGGTTGAGTCGATATGATTCGGACAAATTGACAAATTTTTTCTTTATCGTACAACTTTTTAACGAC